ATTCTGGTGTTCTGTACAGTATAAATCCACTCACCCCTGGAAGAGGAAGAGATTGAGGTGGTTGTACGTCTTGGTGAGAAAGTTTCCCAGAATGCGAGTGGGATAACCGCAATGGATCTGATAGGCCGAGAGGGCAAAGTAGATACATTTCACAAAGTACCAGATCTGGGCCACAGGGTTCTGACTGAACATCCTGTGAACAGAAAACGGAGAGTTAATAGGAGTGTCACTTTAAGTTAATCTACCATTAAAATAAAATGAATGTGATTGAGCTTGATAAACATTTACATCAGTACTCATGAAAAGTAGGAAATGCTACTCAATTAGCTGTCTGCTTTGTTATTGGAATTAAAATATTTTTGACCCTCATGGCCACCCTCTGCTGAAATGAGCTGTTGAGGCTCTGTGGCCCAAGAGCGCAGTCAGGAGGGCTGTGCCAGTACCAGTGCTGCTTGACCAACCCACCCCTTTCCCCTTTCCTCACCTCTCTGTGACAGCTGGCAGGATGAAGAACATCCAGATATGGATACCAAAGACCAGGAGGACCTGAAAGATCAGTTTTCCCAGCACAGTCTTGCGCAGATAGAGGGCACGGTCAATCACCATTGTGCTGAACTGGATGAGCAACATCACCAGAAAGGCCTCAGGCACCTGGTCCTCTGACAGCGTGGAGGCAATGTCTGCAGCCGCAGAGTGTTTCTATACAGGATGTCAAGCCAAAGACATTTGTCAGACCCTTTGAATAGGCTTTTAATGGGCGATCCCTACTTATCATATGGAATAAGGCATATTTACTTCTACCGCTACCACCCTCTGCTGGAAATTAATAGCAGAACCATAGGATATCTGTCATGGGAGTCTAGCAGGATGCCAGTTCATTTCCCTGCTGAGACTGAAAAATAACCAGACTACTGTATATTATTTACAACTGACTCTTAACTCCCACATTCTGTACTCCTGCTCTCTGTGAAGTTTAAATACACTGGGGGTGTCTGTAGCCAATTACCTTTCACGCCTCTTGCATGAGATCCCTACTACCCAAAGCCTAAATACAGACTCTTAAATCCTCTTTCAAAGTTGGACTTAGTATGTGAATTGTGGAGGTACGCTCTTAAGATGATGTCGGGACTTTTGGATATTCTTAACTTGAGGATGTGGTACTCACACCAAAGGCCCAAAACCCAAAGACGATGATGATGAAATCCACCACATCTGTCAAAAACATCAGTGCATAGACGTCTGTCGCCGCATGGTACTCCGTGTGCAGTATGTTGTAGAAGAATCCATGGATTGGTTTGTACACATTGCGTATCCTGAAAGAATACCAGGAACACTCATAATAACACCCACATGAAGGTCTTGTGAATAACATCCATTGTAAGAATAGGGAAATTGGTTCCCACTTGTGGGAATCTGAGTAGGGGGCGATTTAGTCCTGAGAAGGATCTCTTTTTATTAGGATGCAGTGTTTTTGGTCAGTTAAGGAGTTGCTGGTGTATTTAGAACAGTGGCAGATTTCTATTATTTTCTGTCTAAACCAAATGGGAATCTGAAACCCACTTATTATTTGTATCTGTCTATAATATGACTATTGTCCAGATAAGTAAATCATTGTTAGGAATTTGTTTTGTCTACATTTTTGGTATGATTATTACTTTCTCCAGAGAAACAACGTGCTACTTTTGACTAATGGGGGAAATTATGAATCTTTATTTGCTTACATGGCAAGCTAGAGACAGATTCATGATTTTTAATGCCGATATTTAACAGTATGCTCACAGTGTGAGGAACAGCAGCTTCACTTTCTCGCCTAGCACTTTCAGCCTCTTCCTGGCCACCTCCCTGCGGTGTCCCTTCAGTTTCTTCTTTGGCTGAGAGCTCTCCTTGGTCTCTTTTGCATCTAAGGATGAAAAGACAACTATCTTTACCTTTCAGGGGACAAACAATTCGCAGCTGTCCACACAAAAGTGATGCATTAGTGCGCGAACTTCTGGAAGTGTTTATCCACCCACCCTGGGCCTGTGGTTTCTTTTTGCGGAAGCGAAGAATTCTGCTTTTGGCCTTCTCTTCTAGCTCTGGGGGATCTGGGGGTTTTGGGCTGGCGGATGGGTCTTGGTTCTGATCTGGTTCTAACGTCTCATCAGGGCCTGGTTTGGCTTCTTGTATCTGTGTCTGGCCGGGGTCAGGGCTCACTGGGGCTTCCTCTCCTTCTCCGCTTGCCTTTGCAGACTGTTTTCTCTTCTTTTCCTCCAGATTGCCATCCTGATCCCACAAACCGTAGCGCTGGAGAGAGACCCACAGACCATAAAGGACTCATCGCTGCAGTTTAAAACTGGTACTTTTTCCCTGGTTATTATACTTCTGAGGTTTTTACCACATTTTTGCAATATGTATCCTATTTAGTGGCAAGAACACAATCTAAGGTACTGTAGCTGTACAGAAAAGTTACAAGAATGTAGTGCCTTTAAAAGTGGCTTTTCAAAGTGCTTAAAGTTGCATAGCATGAAGCTCCAGTGATTTTGCACATTATGGTCCCATTTGTCAGACCCGGAAACAGAGCCGAAGCAAAGAGAACTATGATGGGCCCCATCATAAGCTTCCAGGCAAACTTTCCCAGGAAACACAAATACCACATATGGAGCTATTAATGATGGTATTATCGTTTAGGATAACAAAAAAAGGCCTTGTTTTTAGGAAGCACAACAGTATATGCTATACAGTTATAGTCCATATGCCTCTAGTGTAATAGTAATTATAATAATAGCCGTCATGCTGTTAATATAATACCAGCAGATGTGGTGTATTAAACAGCTTACTGCATTTTTATATTACTTTTACTGTTGTGACAAAAAATGTTTCCAGTTTTGCTGTTTTATTTTCAGTATTGGTAGGTCCTTTAAGATAAATACAATGTTTCTGGAATAAAAGCAAGTCTGTTAACTGTACAATCACTACAGCTAATTGGTCGTTTTTCTCCGCGTTCCCCGTGTCCTGACCCATCGCTCTCGCCTGTGCCGGGCCACGGCGCGCACCTGGAGCAGGGAGCGGTGGAAGAAGAGGGCCAGGAGCTGGATCAGATCGTAGCGGATGTAGTTGTCGGTCTTCTCCAGCCCTAGGATGCGAGGGGGGAAGAACGGCTTGCCCTCGTTCAGCTTGGTCTCATAGTACGTGTTCCAGGGGAAAAAGCCGAACTGGAAGAGGTACTTCACCACCACCATCACCTGGACAGGACGTGAGCACAGTGAAACACAAAGAGTAACTAACACACAAACAGCAAGCCTCTTTCCAAACACTCCCAGATGCACTTTAAAAAAGGTCACTAGAAACGTTCTGGTACTGTATATATTATAGCACAGCCTGCAAGAAAAGCACTCACTCACATAGTTCATTTGGTACCATTTGATTGAATAAAAATGAGTTAAAATACTACATAAGAAGCAAATGGAGTCCACTTATAAGGAGTGGTACGTCATCAATATAATGTACACCGACAGGCTGAAGGAAACATTTTCGTCTTGAACAGAGACAATAACGAGAGGATCTGACACAACTATTCAAATCCTCAAAGGCGCAGGCCAAGTCAACCCAGTGGACTTCTTCAAAATGAACAGTGGAACACAAACTGGACGACACGACTGGAAACTACATGGAAAAACCCGAGAACAGGACAGAGAAACAGGAGGGAGACAGCTGGAAAAAGCTCTCCAGCCACATCGCTGAAGCTGATACCCTGGCTTCTTTCAAGAAGCAGCTGGATGAGATCATTGCATCAATTAGTTACTAACTATGAAATGACCCAGATGATTTTGCTTCGGGGGTGGGACTGACCTCTGTGTAGACAATAGCGGTCATCCAGAACTTCTTGCTGGGCCGTGGGACAGCCAGCATGGCCCACAGGAAGATGAGGATGGGCAGGACCAATGAGATGATGGAGGCGGTCACCATGTTGTTGAGTACGATGATGAAGTAGCACACCAGCTCCGAGTTGGCGGCCAGCAGGTTATAGAGTGCGAAAAGCAGCTTGAAAGCCCGGTTCTGAGAAGCGTAGAACTGTTTAGACTCCTCGAGAATCCTGCTGATGGACTCCCTGAAACATACAGACAAAGGTTCCACTCTGAAACTGGCAGCACACCATTGCAAACATCACTGCAGTATGACGAGACAAACACAAGACATAAAGGACATATCTGAAGTAGTGCACACGTAGGCTTTTGAATGCTTTTCCATTGTGAATTACAAGTTTTGTATTCTTCTTTGGGAAGTATCTTTGGATATTCTGTTGGATTTTTCTATCACTTGTATTATCCAAGCCTATATTGTTCTTTTACTTCCTTTTTGCTGTCAGGTTCGTAGCTTCAGTGTGTTAATTTTTTTTTTTAACAAATGTCCTTAGGAACATAGTTAATTAAATGCAAGAACAGTCCTCATAGGTGAGCATGTGTATGATTCTAAAGTACAATGTACTGTATTTTCCTAATTTGAACAACAGCTGTGAACAGGATGCTAATGTTGCGTCATCCCCAAAGGACATAAGGTCTGAATTTTGCGTTATTGTGGGTGCAAAGCTCCGGGTAGAGAACCGAGTGAGAATTAGTGCAGGTTGAACTTTGTTGAAAGTCGGTATCTCTCAGTGCTGAATAAATATAGCTGTTCACTTTAGATGAGGTTCCATCAACACTACTGCATAGTAATGATGGCATAGGAAATGTAAATGTATTTGGTGTACAATTAAGCTTGTTTAATCATAATTATCCTTTCAAAACATCTCATTGTAAATCGCTGAAAACCTAGTTTATGTTCCTATTTGTATGCTTGTCTAGGAAAAGCTCAATTAACCAGGAGATTTTATAAAATGGTGGGAGTAACCTTTGCAGAAATACAAAAAACAGGGTCAGGGAGAATATCTTATAAAAAGAACTAGGTGATAGGAAGTCTCTTGCATTAACTCTGATCTGTAGTTAAACTGATTTTAGGAAAGCTGCAGCAATTAACAATTTACTTTTGGTGATAAACATATTATAAACATATTGCAGAAAGAAAATTGAAATCATCAGGAGTACTGTATGTCGGATGGACATCAGAGGAGTTGGACGCCCTCAAGTCCTCCACCCGTGCCGAGAAGATCAGCTGTTTGCAGCACTGCCCTGCAGAGAAGCCTCTTGCCTACCTCGTGCCATCAGACTCCTGCTGGCTCCTCTCTGCAAGGATCTCGCTGGCTGTCCTGGTCCGGCGCCGCAGGGCGGTCTGAGGCATGGGCTCCAGGTCCAGCTCCAGGGTGGGCACCGAGCTGATGGGTGTCGTGCTGCAGCCGGTAGTCTGAGGGGTAGTCTGCTCCAAGTCCATCAGTACCTCCAGCTCGGATCCACTGTAGAGAAATGGATTCCCATTTACCAACATTATTTACAACAGCTTAGGAGCTTTTCTTCAGATGCCTTGTCCTAGAAATCGAATTCCAAATGTTATCTCTAGTGAAGCGTCTGTTTCAGGTTATGGATGTAATGAACGGTGGGGGGTAACGGGTGGATAAGTGGGCACAAAAGCCAGTGAGGGGGGTTGGTGTGGTTTGTGGGGGAAGGCATCAGCTTCTGTGAAGTGTGGGAGAAGTGCAGGGTTCCACAGTACATGGAGGAACCTCCACCTTAAGTAAGGCCACAGTAGAATTTTTTGTTTGTTTATTGCTGTTTCTGGTGAGTTTATTGTACATTTCCTGTGGCCTGGCTGTGGTGGGGCCGTGCCCTGGTGATGTAATGACCTTGCTGCGCTGCTGCTGTTGAGGTTGTCGGCGTCCAGCTCGTCCAGTCCCGTCTCCACTGTGGGGGTCTCACTGTCCCGAAAGCCCCGGCCCTCCGCCCTGAGGCATCCCTGCTGTAGAGTAAAGAGAGGAGGTCAGAGAGGGGCCTGTGAGGAGAGGACAAGTTCTCAAGACTGGAGGTTAGTTCAGGGTCGGGGAGATGGATCAAGACAATGAGAATTTAAAACAGGATTAAATAAGCAAAACACAGAAGACAGAAATGAACATGGGACATGGGAGAGCAATACCAGCAGTGGGAAGATAACCATGAAATGAGAACACCTGGATAGAGTTATTGTTTTTTTTACATTATGCCCAGTATACTGGTGACTGGTGGTCCTTTTCATGACCAGTATAGCTCGCAGGGAATGAAAATCATCTTTGGGAAAGCATTTTCAAACAGTGCCACAGAAGGATGAGAGGTTAGTTCAGGACACCATAAACCAGGTATTTATACATTGTACAACTGCTAATAAAATAATTAATAAGGACCTAAACTATTACAAAATTTTAAAATACCACATTTCCAATGTGATGACTTTTATAAATGCTTCCTTAATAAGATAAACATAATGATGATTTTCAGTATTTGTTTGAATTGAAATTGAGACAATTTGGTGAGGAGCGATTCAATAAAAAGAGCGGGTCAGCAGGTGACGGGTCACCTGGTCGGTGTGCAGACTGTTCTCGTTGCGTTCAATCCAGAGCACAGTCGAGGTGTCCACATACTGCTTGGTCAGGGTGTTGAGCCACTGCGTCACTCCGTCCACCATGGCCAGGAAGAGCACCCACAGAAACTTGAGAACACCCAGAATCCTCTGCACAATGTCACTCCTCTCTGTAGGCAGCAGGGTGAGGGGGGTTCATCACACGGTCAGCCCCCGACGTCATTAACACCAACATTCACACAAACGTGCATGCATATCCCATCTCTTCAGGTTTATCAGAAGAGGTGAGAGAACAAACATTTGCTGGCAATTAAAAAATACAGAACTCCCCTTTTACTAAGCAAATGTTTTTTTTTATCCTATTTAAGAACATTACCCAGTAACCTTTTAACTCTACCATTTTCATATAGTCAGCATAATGCAAAATACATAAAATAGTTATATCAGCTTTGTTATAAGCTGCAACTTACTTTGTTGTAAATATTATAGAAATAAACTACATCACACTTTACATCAATAATTGCATGTTCAATGAGAATTGCTCCACTCATTAGGACATTATGACAATTAGGACATTAGGACAATGGTACACATATTACTTATGAGCGGTCTAGACTTCTCAGCGCCTTGTGTGCTGTAGACACATATTGACAGATACCTGAGTCAACATCTTCTTCCGCCACCACCTCCTGGTCTACCATGTCTCCAGGATTGGACTGGCACTCCTCTCCTTCACCTGTGACAAACACATTCCAACTCACCATCCTGGGAAACCAGCCAAACATGTAGTTTACCCCAGACTGGCTTGGTATAACGGAAACCTAGTTTCACATCTGTCATTCCCACGTTAATCACTGCTTCTTTCAGGGTTATAAACACCAGGCAGCTGATACCAGAGATATGGAAGACATATCTCGGGAGAACAATCGGACTGAAGGCAAAACCGTTTTATACAGGATGATGCCACCTGTAATAGGATATTCCCACTTTTTGTTTTTGCAGCAGATAACCAAATGCAAAAAAAAGGCAAAAGCACTTTTACGAATGAAAAAAAATCGCTTAGTTTCAGCCCTAACAAGTCCTATGAAAAGAGCTGGAGGAGTGCACACAGTCCTGTGCGTCTGCAGCGTGGGAGTGGGCGTGTCTGTCGAGCTGACCTGAGCTCTCCGGGCTGGCTTGCCTGCTGGCCTCGCTCTCCAGCCTCTGCAGCACTTTCTGGTGCTGCTGCCTCTGCTTCAGCGCTGTCTTGGCATTGGTCACCCAGGCTTGGTAAGCCAGCTGTGGGGACAGGGAGCAATCGAAGGTGCTTGAGTACAGTACGCGAGAAGTACAGCCAGTAACAAAAGAGGGAACAAATAAATCAAGCTACTGCCATTTCCTAAAGATTCTAAATCAATGATTAGCCTATAATCGCAAAAGCTGCAATCTTCGTTATTACAATAACAATGCAATGACAGGCGTCCTTCCTCCCTTCCTAAGTTGCTCAGGGCGCCAGGCTGGGAACCTGGCTGGTGTGGCCCCTGGCTCTTGGGAGCTGCTGGAAGGGGGCTCACCTGGAAGGCACTCTGTCTGGAGGGCTTCTGCTCCTCTGCCAGCAGCTCTTCCTCCTCTTCACTGTCAGACTCAAACAAGTAATATTCCCCCGAGTGCAGCACTGAGGACCCAGGGGCAAACAAGCACACAGACAGGACACAACAGCTTCATTAGTGCACATTACTCCTTTATATTCCTTTACTCTACCTGTGAATTCTCACTACATTCTCATTTCCAATGACCTGGAGTTCGGTAAGACAGCAGTCTTAGTCTAGGGTACAACAGTGGGGACCCACAGTGTCCTAAACACACTGCAGAACCTGTGCTTCACTCCAGCTTCATGTGGAGGGCAGGAACATCAAAAGTCAGAAGTGGACAGAACGTAGGGGAAATTGAAAAATATACAGGATTGTAATGTCTAAAACACGTACACACATGTATGTAGAAAATGTGAAATGAATGATTAGGAGTTCAATATAGGGTTTATACTCTGTTAGTTATTAGAATTGTTTTGGTAGAGCCCAAGAGTGAAACCGTAGATAAAATTAATAAAAAATGTTGGAGATCTTGTATACCTTGAATACACTATTTGGTATAACTGATGTAGAATCTGATCTTAAAAGTAAAGAATAAGAGACGGAAGAGCTTAAGTAATGCTTAACATACCAGGCTAACGCCCAGTGTTAATGTCATTTTATTTTCTAATTATATTGCAGCTAAAAGAATGATTCACTTTCCTGAAAGGCACTTAAGGTCCAGCACACATTTTCCTAGGGAAACAGAATTCTCATATGAACTTGCATCACCTCTTCGCTGGAGGACCCAAAAAACGCTTCCATTAAAAGAAATTAAGTCAACCATGAGCAATCTCATTTCAGAGCCACTTCAACAATTTCAAGCTTCTGGAACGAGAAAGGGCAGCTTGGGGTGGTGGAGTTTCGAATGGGAAATGAAGCTGAGTAAAGTACAGTGTAGCCTGATGTCCAAATGGGATGGGAACGTCACGATTTCCTATAAATAATCACACACTCAGTCAGACTAGAAGCAACAGTTACTCTTGAGAGAGCATAGCACAGATTTCTAGGAGGTCCAACCATACAAACACCCACACTCCGCTCTGAAGGGGGCTGGGACAGCAGTAGAGTCCCTTCAGCACCGTGTACCTGTGGCATGATCAAGCCAGGGACGCCACCACTTCTTTCTCTGTTTGGAGCCCTTTCTGCCCACCTCTTGCTCTGTTAAACAGGAGAGAGGCCATCTGCTTTATCTCAGTGGCTCAGATACTCTGCTGTCCTCCATGGACACAGCATTGCACACACTGGGAAAGGGTCGCAGCCCGGAGTTGCTTTAGCGTTGGCAAATGCATTAAAGTGTACGCTTGTTAGTCCTTCGGTCAGCCATATAGTTTAGGTATGCGCGCATGCTGGGGGATGCTGGTAAAAACAAACATTCAAAAGAGCCCCATTGCAATGAGCTATTAACAAACATCTGAATAAAAAACAAACTACAGGATATATCAGCTTTGTGGTGGTTTTGAAGCAGCATAAAAAAAACAGAGGATCGCACTTTTGGAGAGCCTTTCTCTGTGGATAAACTGCATTAGAAAGGTCAACATTGAAATGTTTACTCCCTTATCAGGCCCTTTAAAGTCCTCAAAATCTGCAAACAAATGTATTAAAGCACCACACCCTCCGGCCCATGAAGAGGTAGCTCTCGCTGTTAAAATGAACTTTTTTTCTTATCTAAAGTCTAAGTCCCGACAGTTGCCAGCACCCCATTCTGTGAGACTGGTCAATATGAAACCAAGAGGAGTGTAAATGCAAATACTGTAGGGTTAGACAGGCATATGATCCGAGATGAATTAGTGATTAGAAGTGAAAAGCAGGCCCAATAGAAAAGAAGCATTAATGTAGCTCCAGGGAACAAGCTTGAGAGAAGGTAAGACAGTATAGTTAGTACATTTAAGTGCAAAGGGTAGACAGTTATGGTTACACTTCAATACTTTGCTGGGATGAACAATCTTCATATTCAAAATATCATTTATTAGTTATTAGAGCATAAAAAAATCAAGGAATTAAAAGTATAATTTGTGCCTCTCCCTCCTTTTCTCCTCATTAACCCCCCCAAAAAAAAACCCATTAAAAACATTTATCACATGGTAAAATCAAAGTACTAACATGAATTGTAGTCTCCACAAAAACTAATTCACAACAATAGCTGATTAGACATGAGAATTGTTTTTCTAATTGTCAGTGTTCTCCGTCAGATATATGACACCATTTCAAAACTGACAGTGTCCGAGATGGCTGGTGTATACCTGGTGGTCCTGCACTGCTGTCAGAGGAGCGGCGCCCCTCTTTGTATTTCTGCTGCTTGGCCCTAATCCGTTCCATTCTGGGAAGAGACACAGATCCGAGATTTTATTAGCAACACCGTCTACAGAGACATGGTCTTCATGTGCGGAACTGTGTGCTTCCTGTGGGACTCACTGTCTCTTCAGCTGGGTCAGGGATTTCTGCTCTGCCTGGTGGTGAAAGTTCATGCTCTTCACGATGCTGGCCTTGAACAGCTCAAAGCCCCTATAAGGAAACAGAAGAGACTCAACAGCGTACCCTACTAGCTAATTCACTCCTACACCACAGAGCTCACACAGGACATTTATTGTGCATCTAATGTGCACGGAGGGCTCTTTTTCTTTTTTTCTTTTATTTAATCAGGAATATTTCAAGCATAAATTTTCTCTAGTGACTTTTTACTGCAGTACTCATGAGTCATCTCTGAGTTTGGCAACTCAGACTGCAGCCTCCCTGATGCATTGCAGTGAAAGTGTTTGGCACAAAAAGCATGCTAATTGCTTGATTAGCAAGATTTTAATTTAATAATTACATAGGTGGCTGTGCTAAGCACCTCAATTAGACTGGAAGCCTGGTATTTGGCTTCCTCTGCCCTGTAGACGTGCATAGAACAGCCTACAGGTTTGCTCTATGCACCTGAGGCAGGTACCAGTCTGTATGGACGTCTGGCCCTGTGGCCCTGTGGCCCTGTGGCGGTGTACCGTACTCACCGAGATGCCTGTCGGGCAGACGCCTGCTGGTCTGCTGCGATGTGCAGGAAGTAGTAGCTGAGGAAGACTCTCCTCTGCAGCAGGAGGAAGAAGAAGCAGATGCTGTCCCAGATGATCCCAGCCTCCTCCACCGGAAGCACACATTCCTGCTCATACTGCTGATCCTTGGCTGATCACCGCAAAGACAAGACAGACTTCAGCGGTTTCTTGAGGGCATTGTTTCTGATGTTTTTTTTTTTCGCTTTGCATTTCCTTTCTATTTTAACATACAATTCACAATTAATTCCCATCAGAGCAAGAGCCTGGAGCATTCATGGAAATAAAAGTTATTTTTTCTACAAAAGAATCACAGGAAATCCTGTACACTGGTATGTAAAAAAAGGGCGAATAATTTGGGTTTGGAGAACAGCCAAAGAACAATAGCACTGCTCTGAAACTAGCTTTTAAATCTCCTTTTCATACAGATACATCACTAAGCACTTGAGCAACAGGCCCAAGGGCTTGGGGTCTTGAACACTCACGGTCATAGTAACCCTTCACAGTGCACACCAAGCTGAAGAGCTGGATGACCCAGCAGAAGCGAGTCTGCATCTGCTCCACAAACACACAGGACAGGAGCTGTGGGGACAAAAGCCACATACTTCATTAACGAGGAAGTGGTCCGACTAGATTCTTACTAACTGATAAATTAATCTGCCAGTCTGGTTGCCTGATTTTATGTACCAGGATTATTCTGATGAATCTCACTGGATACAAATATGTAGAGTCACAGTTTTGGTAACAGGAAATCTTACAAACAAAAAAAAACACCTTGACAAAGAAGAGCTTGAGTGTGAATCCCCAATCTCTGTCCTACAATTAAACCTATTCTCTTTCATTTCTGTGTGATTTCGTATACAAATAATTTTTTTAATCCAAACATCTACTGCTTAGTAACACATACCTGACAATATAACTTCAGAATAAATATTTCTAATTGGCACCAGAAATGTTTTTGATATGGATTATAGTATTTGTTTTCAGCAGGAATGCAAAGAATGTTTCATATGTGATATCATGGAAGACACACCACAGACAGCTTTAGTTATAACAGTGTGCAACCTCTGTAGTGAGGCTTTGCGAGTACATAGCCCTACTCACAGACAGCATGTTCTTGGAGATGATGACAGCCACATTATACATGATGAGGCAGTCCCACAGCACCAGCCTGGTCTTCGTGGACTTGAGAAGCAGCTCGGTGCCACAGAGCAGGAAGTAGAAGCAGGCCATGAGATAGCCTAGGCCAAACATGCTAATACGTGTGGCCCCTGTTATAAACACCACAGCCAGCACCAACCAGAACATGTGGCGGAACACTGCCACCTTCACCATGTCCAGGTAGCACCTGCCAAGACACAGAGGAGATACGGCCTTAGCCAGGAACACAGAGCTGTTATGACAGGATCCATCCCTACTTCGGAACGGTAACCCTTTCCCTGGGAGGAGTAACGCTGGGACGCCAGTTGACGAAATACCTGCAGTTGACGAAATTGGGCACAGGGTTGGAGTTCTTTCCTGCCATGGGGATGAGCTCTTCCCGGTTCTCCCCGGCCCACACAATCCACAGTTCCGTCTTCTCATCCTCAAAGACCTTCCACTGCTGGGAGGCGCACATGAGCAGGAGGAAATCGCCTACAGGAGAGAGCGAGTGGAGGGTTACAACTGAAAAGGAGGGTGTGGACACTTTATTTAGGAGGTTTCTGTAAAATATAAATGATAATATAAGTATCCTTACACTTATACAGCCTTTTCTACAGTAGAGTGTCCCCATCACTATACTAGGGCATTAGGACCCACACAGACCGCAGGGTGAGCAGCTCCTTCTGGCCCCACTAACGCCTCTTCCAGCAGCAACCTTAGCTTACCCAGGAGTCGCAAGGTGATATACAGTAGCTGCTGGCTATATAAACGCCATAGCATATATAATCACACCAAAATCTAATAATCACTGCTCTGAAGACAGTAAGGAAACTCATTAACTGTCACCAGAAATTTCACATTGATATGAGACATTTTCACATTGTGAAATCAGATCTCTGAAACATGCATAATTAAGATAATGTATTTAGCAATTATTTTATTCCAAATCACTTACACTATTTAGACAGCTGAGTATTTTACTGAAGCAAAATAAGTGAAGTAGCAGGCTACAGTGTGCAGTAGTGCACATGGGATTTAAACCAACAACCTTCAGAGTCCGGAATCTGCTAAGCATTGCTCCGTTTTGTGGCCCACATGAGAATATGAGTAAAAGTATCATTTAAAATCACGTTTACTGCCTGGTTATTCTGGCTTGATAAATTATTAACTTTAACAGCTAAGTTGCAATTATGATGTTGTCTGGAAGTGCAACCATATTTAAGCTACTGATAAAGAGAACAGGCAGGAGTCAGTTATGTGTCAAGACTCACAGATGAGGTTACTGGAGTTGGGGATGGTGTAGAAGTCTGGCAGATAAATCCACTTGATTAGGGCAGAGTTGATGGTGACAGTGCTGTTCCAGCGCCAGGGGTAATCTACAGGAATCACATTTAACACAGACATCTGTCAAAATGTTTTCAGTTTCCACAGCAGATTATTCAATCAAATAAAATAATAACATTACTATCCTTTAGATCTATAGCAGTTTCACACTATGCATTATATATAGGGTATATACAGCATATACCACTGGACATAAAAAAATGAAGTAATACAACTGCAGAAGGAGGCCAGTGTCTAAACCATATAAACTAAGTGGTTTCATCTAGCACCTGAATTGAAAAAGAAAGAACTCTTCTACTGTCCTACCATACACTATGCCCACCTATGCAGAGTGCTGGAGGGATGCCCACACACAGCAGGTACTGGTAAATCATGAACAAGACCAGAAAGAGGCAGTATTTTGGCCAGATGCGCGCAATAGCAGACCGCCGGCGTCGTGTCAGGATGACCACCAGCCAGCAGCCATGTAAAATAACCAGGAAGTTCATCCGCTGGCCAATCACATTCACCGTCATCAGGAAACAAATCTAAAAAAAAACAGGCAAGAAAACTGGGGCTTCAGAACCAACACTTCATGAAAGCCAACAAATCAGCCTCTTATAGTACTGTCATGGATTAATTTTACATTTTACATGTTTTCTTTTACTTTTTACTTTTATCGCTTTTCCAACTCGTAATTGAACAGCTACTCAAATTTCTACTTTAATTAGAAGTCTTTTTAGAAAAGATCACAGCTTCTTTTATTTTACTTCTCCACCCTGGATTCCTTTTAAAAATGAAAAGTGAATCTGGTCATTCTTGGTCTTTTTATGCAGTATAACAGTGTCTTTCAAAACATATTCAGAGTCTTACATAACTTTCATGTTTAGATGCTTTAAAGTATCCCCCATGGGGGATGAATAAAGTATTTAGAATTGAACTGAACTGAATAAATCTTGCCGTCAAGATGCAATACTTTTAAGTGGCAATTAATATTTATTATATACACAAGCTACTCCACATATTCAAAAGCAAAAAAGAAACAAGTAGATAATAAGCAAGAAAAGTCATGATTCAAACCCTTCGCTGTGGCAAATCTAAATAATTTAAGGTGCAAGGCGCTGTACAGTGTGTAGTTAGGGGGAAAAATAAGCATAGGCAGGAAGAAAAGGCAAATCAGAAGACAGAGAAGCAGAAAGAAGCGCAGCTGTAGTCAAGAGACTGTCACTCAGGTGCACCTCTAGGCCAAATTTGTAGAAGCAGTAGTTAATGAGATACTTCAAGCAGCCCAGCAGGTCCTGGTCCACATTCTCCTGGGAACTGTGTGAGAAGATAGTCTGAATGGCTGGAGGAGAAGTCTGCAGCTGTTTGTAGTGGTGTGTCTGATGCCTGTACACTGTGGCCTCAAAAACCAGCAACATCAGCACCAACAGGTGGTTCTGTATGGGGACACAACAGGGCATGGCTTGAGCACCAGAACTGCAGCCTCAACGCCACCTTTCTCTTCCTTAACCGCTTTACCCAAGATGCTGATGGATTGTGCTAAAAGACGTCTTTGAATTGCCGCACATTGAGAAAAATTGAGACAATGACTTTTTCATAAAGGACTGTAAATTCACTTAAAAATCTGAGAGAGCAGCTATGCTTCCTTTCATGCCAACCTTCAGTCAACAGAATGCTCCCAACACAGATTTCAGACATCAGGTAGTCAGTTTTCTTAATACGACACGCAGGGAGTGATTTAACGACCCCAGACCCAGAAGGTGTAACGCACCTTGATGTAGCCAAGGGCGGTGTCGGCTTTCCTGAACCCAAACCAGTTAGCTGGGTCTACTGGCCGTCTGTAAAGGATCGAGTTCCGGATCTCGTCTTCTTGCAGATTGGTCTCAGTACTGTTAGGCTACAGGGAAAAAAAAAACAAAGTCTAGCCTGAGAAACAAGGATAGTGCAGACTAATTAATTAAGAATACATTAAGGTTTACCCAGAATTTAGTATTAAAAACAATGTATCAAATATCACAACAGTGTAGGGGTATGCCGATGCCAGTGTACGTGTGTGAAGTGGGAATTTAGTAGTCATGCCTCACCACTGTGCAGTTGCTGGAGTACTCGATGGGGTTGACGATGCTGAGCTGGTACAGCATCTTGCAGACGATGATGATGCAGACCCAAATGGTGGACAGACAGGAGGCCATGTGTCTGAAGCGGGAGTAGGGCATGGCAAAGGACCACAGCAGAACCAGAACCAGGTTCATCACCGAAGGCTGAGCACAGAAACACACAGCTAAACATGGCAATCCAGTTAAAAAAAACACCGCCACGCCATTCAAAACCACCACTTCAACCACTGGCTCATATTACCACTGCAGCCCCCCAGAAAGTTCAGAAATGCGCTCTGCCTTAAAAATGTACTTCAAGCTCATCTGTAGGCAGGTTCCGTATTCAGGCAAAACTATCTTGGTTTCCATGGTATGAAGTGGACAAGAGAGCGTCTGATTCTGGCCCCCTCCCTCAGACAGGACACTGGTCTATCAATGGGAGAACCCTTCTGCTCCCCCCAACGTCATCAGGGCAACTTTGTTTCTGAACACATTGTTATTTTCAGAAAAACTCACCTCCCCCAGCGCCACCCAGACAATAAAGAAGGCCACAATCTTGAGGATGTGCAGCTCCAGGACCCTCCATATGAAGACCTGCACCTGAGACAGGATCTCTGAGAACTTCCTGAACAGCACCATCAGCCTGTCCATCACCAAGTCCCATTTACTGGGCATGGCTGCTGTGGAGACAATGCGCAAAAGTAAAGAGTTACACCATTTGTTTGATTAACGCAGCAAGTGTTTTTATCCTATGCTTGTCAAACCTAAGAACAAAGTGTATGGATCTAATTATGATAGGCTGAGATACACTATTGCAAATAAAAAACAAACAAGCTACAATGCTCTATCACCTTTTCCATCTGGTCTGAAAATAAAGCTCACTAAAAGCTTTTCACCACCTGTGCAAACAGCAGGAAATAACTAAATATTAGTACCCAGCTGCTGTACTGGTTTGGCTCTGTGAGGGTTTTTTTTTTACCTTCCTCCTGCGACTGGTCATCGTCCAGTCCAGTCATCTGACGCTCCTCTTCAGGCACCTCGCCTTGTGCTGCCTCCGAGACAACGGAGTCGCTGCTCAGCTTTTTCCTGCACAAAAACAAAACAGCCAGAGCTCCTGATCAGTCCGTGATGGTCACAAACGCAAATAAAGACTAAGAAACGCTCCTCTGATTGATGATTGATGCCCATACTGGTAAAAAATCAAAGACAGATCAGCAGGGGCATGCCAAGGTGCAGACAGGGAGAAAAGGAGAAACTGGCACTAGCAGGGAAGCTGCAGGACTGGTGAAAGGACAAAGCGTCGAGGTACTAGCTAGTGCGTGTGTTAGAGGCTGCAGGTCACCAATCCCAGCTGCAGATGGACAGACACACAGGGAAAATACAGGGAAAGGAAAGACAGGCTAGGCCTCAGACTAAAACAGCAAGTGGATCCCTGCCTCTGTAGCGGGGTGACGTGCTCCAGGTCGGTGGTCCTCATGAAGGGCCTGTGGAAGTAGTGCAGCTGGAGGATGCAGGCCAGGAGGAAGAAGCCAGGGATGAGGATACTGGTGAAGAGCTCCGACAGCTTGAACGTCTCCAGACCGATATCGGCTAGTCTGCAAAGGGTACAGAGGAGACATTATCAGACACGGTGCCCGTCTTCAGCTTCATCATGAACATAGAAAACATAAAACCAACTGTTTTGAAGAGATCTGAGATACTACATTTATAACAATAGGCACTTTGTTACACACTGCTGTGCAAACATTTTGGATATTGACTGCTGTTCTACTTTTGCCCATGTTCTTCCTTCTTCATTGTTGGCACTCATCTACTAAATTTTATTTTATTCTAAAATACCAGTTAAACCTGACAGGTCTGTGTTGGGAAGTATAAACATCTGCCTGTTTTACAGATATAGAGAAAGGGGGGAAAAAAAGTAAATCAGAAGCAAAACTTGACAATTCAGCTGGTAAGTCTAATTACTAAAGTAATTCACACTGGCAGCACATTTGATCACAGTTGTGATTTTTGAATATTCCTATCTACACATTAAGAAAAAGACAAGTGACATACTGGTTTTCCGTGAACCCAGTGAAGTTCTTCCAGTAACCGGGAAAATCCTCAAACTGGAAGGTGTATATCGCGATGAGCACCAGCATGGTATAGGCCACCACTAGCCACCAAAAGGCCTTGAGCAGTCGCCTCCACAGCGTGTAGTACATCTGGGGAAGAGCTCAGAGTGAGGATACAGCACAGACCGCCTCCAGCAGGGGGTGAAATTAGTCTGGGCTGCTGAGAGGTTACCTGGTAGAGGCAGAGACACAGCAGGAAGAGCAGCATGTAGACGATCTTGTAGCCCACCAGCTTCCCAGCGAAGCTGACCATGATAAACATGCCTCCACAAACGTAGATCCAGTATTTGGCATAGCAACTCATCACCATCTTGCCCAGAACCTTCAGCACCGACTCATTCTGCCCACTGGTCTCTGAAGCCAAACAAAAGGAAGACTCTAAATAATTTGGACGACGGCTTGCCTCTTGCATTACATCATATTGTTCAAACAATTTTTAATTGTGGTGTATATGTTATTTTATAATCATAATTTATGTGAAAACATAAATATTTTCTATAATTACATGTATAGATGCACTGCATCTTTCATTTGTTTTTTTATTTGTACTGCATCTTTCATTTATTGTACATTATGAAGTGGAACCCCAATTAGTACCTTTAATTCAATATTGGAATATTAAGCCATAACAGTTGTTGCTGTTAGTCCTGCGTTTCAGATGCGCAAAACTCAGAAACTGGCGACTCAGATATACTGTAGCTGGAAACCATGACTCTTTATGGCAAACAAAGTATGAAATAGTAGTTCAGGTGGGTAGCTGCAAAGGAACAAGTAATAGGTTTATTCCATTCTGAAAAAAAGAAGAAAGAGAACACAACCTTTCGGCCGTAGAGCCTTCTTCAGGTGTCATAACACCTGAAGAAGGCTCCACGGCCGAAAGGTTGTGTTCTCTTTCTTCTTTTTTTTCAGCATGGAATAAACTTATTACTTGTTCCTTTGCAAAGTACGAAATATCCTTGTTGTCTCACCAGCACCTCCTGTGGTGACCTCCAGCAAAGGTGAGGCAGTCTTCTTCCTGGTGAACTTGTCCTTCACCGAGTGACGCAGGAGGAGCCAGAACGTGAGTGTGTAGAGCAGCTGTGTAAAGAAAGGTGCTGTTTTTGCGCCTGGATACCATCCCACAATCCCACAGTCCTGACAGATATTCCTAACAGGTCTGCAGAGCACGTTTTAACTACTGTGCATCTATCACACAAATGTTGAGAATTAGACACAGTGCGCATTTTTTTAGATGATTCATGTTGTTGATTCATTCTGACGTTTAACAAATAGCTTTATTTTTCATGCACAAAAAAGAGCACACATTTGAAATGGTTTTTCCTAGTGGTCCTTTTTCTTTAGCGACTCACAATTCACTCATTTCGTTTGAAATTCATGCAAGGACAATCAGCCATGCTTTAGGCGCTCACTGCGATACTGCCCCAGGCATTCCTACGGTATAAGCAAGCCTATTAGGGTTTCTAGTTTTACATCTCAGAGAGCATGCAGCATCAGGGCCCTCACCATGGCTCCCAGGCGCAGACAGGCGTGCTTGGTGCGGTCCAGCCCCAGCTGCTTCAGGCTCATCGAGCCGACACGATGGGGCAACTCGGGCTCCAGGTCCATGGACCAGATGTACTGGAGGCTGCAGAGGGAGAGGCCATACAGCAGGATGAAGGGGGAGCACAGCATGGCGAAACGGCGCCGAGCACGCAGGATCCAGATGAGGCAGGCCCACAGCAGGAGCACGAAGGTCAGCCAGCTGTGGTAAGTGATGCTCCAGACCTGCAGGAGTACACAGACACAGGGAGAGAGTAACTGAGGTGTGCCTGCGTGCTTGGGGACCTTCAGTGCACCGTGCAAGAAATCAGCCATTCAAAAACACCTCGCATTTAAAATTATACTGGACATTTCCTTTACTACACAGATAAAACAATTTGAAAGAAGAATCACTGTGATCATTGCATAAACTTGAAGCAAATGAAGAAGGCCTCCTGACTGTTCCTCGACTGCTTGAGTGGTGTATGCTGCAGGTATGTTTCAGATGCAATAGACAAATAAATGCAGATGAGCTTTCAGATTCTTTCATCCGACACATGAAACCTGTGGTTCTTTATGTTCAATTTTTAATGCCAATTTTAGCAGCTCAATAGAATCATATCTGTGTTCAATGTTTAACATTTGTAATGTTTAACCTGTAGTCTTTCTGATCAGGTTTCGATATAGAAAAATAACAAGAAAAAAGTACCATCATTGCAATAAGAGCGCAGACATAGCTCTGCTGCATGACCATTCGGCCCACAATCTGCCAGGGACTGTCCACATTCCGTCCAAGGGCTCCACTCGGCCCTGAAATAGAGGATGTTACAGTGATGACAGTTTTTTCCAACAAATGAAAATAAATGAATACCCACCCACCAGCAAAATCCTAGCTTCATGTTTTACCAACACTTTCCGAAAGGGAAGGTCTCACCTAGGTCTTGATGACTTGATCCGTTCATGACATGAACTCTGGGCGTCTCTGCATTGGCTCCTGGTGTGTCGCCGGCTGAGAGGAGCATTGGCTGAAATAACAAATGTCAGCAAATGAAAAATGTAAAACCTACAACCCAAAGTCGCAGTCCAGAATCTTTGATAGATTAAAACCTTTGGAGGTCAGCTGAAATATGATTTAGGGGAAAAAAAAAAACTTAAAAATTCAATTCAATGCTGAAACATACTTAATATAATTATACATACAATATTATATTTTACATCTCAATTAACCTACACTTATATTTCAAAAGGTAAGATGTCATTTACAACGATAGACATACAGTATCTGGCATTTCACTGAGAGATGCAGATGTCTATATTCACTATTCTATATTGCCCTTGATTCCCATGCAGGCTTTTGAATGCATACCAAAAAGACTAATGGCTGCTTTCACCAGCCCCGATTAGCCCTAGTCCTACACCACATTACCTAAATTAACATGTAGCTAGTTCTACATTAGTGCTAATCACACTGTATGAAACCAGCTCTTAATTTTGAACACAGTGATTAGATGTGACTTTTATTGTTCAGACACTGTGATTAACCTCAGGATGCAGCCCTGGGCTTCAGAGGTCTGAAATCCAATTTCAAGGCAGTAATGAACTTCGCTCACCTTCGTCTCGTCTTGACTACTTCGACGCCCGGAGACCCACGACCTCAGCTCCATGTCCCCCCCACCACCGTCCTGGGACATCCTGGACCTCACTCCTGCTTCGTCCTTCTGAAAACAGGACACACCTCTTCAGCTCAAGAAACACAGGGCAGTCCTACCAGGGTCATTCTACATAAATGGAATTCAATTTTTATTTCCTTTAAAGGGTCAACATGAGGCAGAAGAGGTCAGAGAACTGCAGTTGTGGCAGACAGCCTACATTTACTACCAGGTTATACATTTCCAGGAGAGCCCTGGATCTGGAATATTGTGACCCATGTTTGAACGTCATGAACAGAGGCCTTCTCTTGCCTCTCACAGAGATGGAGTATCCTGTGACAATCCTTCAGTGTCTTGGAAGCAAGGAATATTTCAAATGTAAATGTCCTGGATATAAAAATTGACTTCTAACCACTCGTCATCAGAAAACAAGTCCAGAAGGAATAAAGGTGTGACAACCTTATCAGAAGAGTAATGGCGTCCCATTTTCAGAAGAGTTGCCACGGTGATATACAGAAGGAACAGAATCCCTGGGTTGACATAAACCGGCCAATCGTGATCCGTGTTCAAGACCAGCTCAGCAGCAGAGGAGCAGTTGGAAGGCTTTAGAATTTCTTTCAGGCCAAAGAGTCTGAGGAAAGAATTTGGGAGATACATATACCGTATAATGCTGACACACTGCTTCATAATTGTAATGGGAAGAAAAACAAAACACAAACTTGTAAGACATTTTCATTTCCTCTACTCCAGATAGATCGTGCTTGTGCTATCAAACTTGAGCCTAAGATTAGATTTCATGAAAGAGGGATATTCCCTCTCCACAAGGCAAAAAGATAAAAGGCTTTTATACACACAGAGTATAGAGCCTGCACCCGAGTCTGCACAAAGATCCCCTGTTTTTCCAGTTATTGCTGTCTGGGCCTGCCAGATTGGCATCGGGGCCTGAGGTATCCAGTGGGACTGACCAAGGGGGACAGGAACATTCACTCACGGTATGGCAGGTGCCTGCAGGCTTTGGACTACGGGCATTCCAGAATGCACTTGGCCATTTACATTCCACACATAGCTGTCCCCTCTTCCATCACTCTGCAGTTCTCAGGGGAATTAGAAATTGATTGACCTGCCTCCTGTTTTCACGTTTAAAATATGACTAAAACTCCTCCGTATATCAGATGGAATTTCATCACCAATCCAGAAAAAACAAAATCTTTCAGTCCAAGCGCAGCCCCTACAGTGTCAGTGTCTCTCAATAACAGGGCTCAGGAGAAACCGTACACTGACCTGGCCCAGAGGCTGGAGGGGGGAAAGATTTCCTGGGCAAAGGGGCTCTGATAGAGGTACAGGCAGACCAGGTGTCCCGCTGTGAAGAAGCCCACCATCACACACAGTGCGTTGAAGCCCAGGGGGCTGATGGGGAGGTGGCAGGCCCACCATGTGCACACTCCAATGAACAGCAGGTAGTAGACGCCAGAGAAGGCAGATGGCAGAGTGATTCCTGCAACACAGCCAGAGAGCCTGGGTAAGAACAGCTTCGTAAACCCTCACACAGAGACACTGCCCGCCAGTTGCTTTGAACTTTTTCCCCCGGTATATCATCTTTCATGCTAGATTTTTCTAGCTTCCCACATGTCTCGTCCCTGCAGAGTGAGTGTAGGGAGTACGGACTGAGGGGGCGGAGGCCCTTGCTGGTGCTCTTTAATGAACTCGCTCACCCGACAGCCCAAGCAGCGCGACGGCACAGACCCTGCCGAGGTCTCGCAGGAAGGAGTGGCCTGCGGCGTGCAGGCGGGCGGCCAGGAGGGCCATGCGGGACGGGGCGGGCGTCTCCACCTCCGGGGGCTCGTCTTCCACTTCGCTAAGGGCGGTCCTGCCTTCCTCATCTCCCCCCTCCTCCTCTTCGTCCCTCTGCTCCCCCTGAAACCAACAACAGGTGGACGGTCAGCCACGCTGTGAGTGAGGCCTAGAACACGGCCTGCGACTGCAGATTCACCATCGCTAAATTCTCAGTAACAAAAACAGCAGCAGAATGTTAATTCGCGTGACCGTTCTTTAGGTAACATGACTGATAAAAGGATCTTTTTAGTTTAGGATTTGAAGGGGAAAAAAACAAGTCATTGTCTTGTATTTAGTTCTGTTACCATCTAGAAATATTAATGTTTGGTCTTGCAACATTAGTCCACACCATCTCAACCAGAAAATAGGGATTTTGTTGCCCAGCCCTCTTAGACTTTGGTGTAAAAAAGACACCAGGGTTTTTTAGAAATGCTAGCCATTTTTAAAAAACCTGCTTTGACCAGTGACCTGGCAAAGGTCAACCAAAGCTGTAAAAAGAGCTTTGTCTGTGAAAATTATCCTGTGTTCACATCAGGTGCTACTTTGCAGGGGTCAGAGACTGCAGAATGTAAGTAATTCTTGAAGAATTCCAAAACCAGTCTTCCAAAACTGCTTTTGATGTCTTTGATGTCAAGTCTGCCCAATGGCCATTTAACCCACCTGAAACTGGATTGTTTCACATTTTTTAGATTTATACATATGTTTTTATAGACATATTTTACAGATAAAACTCAATACAAGCAGAACTTGGTCTTACACGTGTTGGTAGCATTTAATCTAGGCGAGGCTACCAACTTTTCACTGTTGGTTTACCTTTGCTGGGTTATAGGCCAAAGGAATTAAAAACAAATAATCCAGCATGCTCAACTCCACTCTCCAACCCCAGCCAATTTGCTTTTGCAAAATCCATGAGGACTGGGCAATGAGTCTGAGTGGTGTAAATAATAAATAAATTTCTCTGTTACAAAATCCAAGTTTCCCAGAAAAAAGATAGAATTAGATCATAGTTGAAGTACCGCTGCTATTCTGCAGGACTGCAGTAGCCCTCAAATTCCACTAGGGGGAATCAGACTGCATTTCAGACACACTGGATTCACATAACTGTAACTGCGTAACCTTACACATGCAGATTTCAGTCACAAAGCCAGCAATCCTATGATATACTTTATACGCTTAGAGGACATATCAATAAATGACATGTGATTGGCCTTTTAATCCTAGTTTGTAATGACCAGTGGAATCTAGGAAGTACACACTGTTAGTCATAAAACTGGCATCTGACATATACTGAATTAAATGGCAGGCAATACCTTGCCAGTCTTTCTGCTGTTTGGTAACTGCAAAGGCTATTATTCTACAGCCACATTACATGCACTTTGAGGTCGGCTTCTCATGTTTAGCCCCACCTTAACACCAATCCACCCTTTGTGACGCTTGGCATTATGCAAGACCATGGCAGACAGCCCAGAGCACCTGGGACGACGTCAGTGACTCATAAAGAATTGGAAAAAATCACGGGGATGCCATGATAAACACAGTGCATGCAGAACACTGTTATGAAAGGGGGGAGGCAGGGTGTCAGGGTAGTTACAGGAAAGTGTTTCCCCAACTGGCTGACACTCTAAGGGATCTGGAAACCAAAATCAAAACAGTGCAATTAAAAAGAAAGCAAGAAGGTTTTATAAATCTGTCAAAAACATTCTCTTTCCGGCCATTAAGCATCACACATGCACAAACCAAACCAGTTAAATAAAATTGCCTGTACCTAGAAAAACAGACACGATCTTCTCATCTTTGCTCAGGAAAACATCTGCAAAGCCAGAGCATGCCCAGATATTGTTCAATCACAGCTAAAGTTGTGATGATGTCCACAGATTTGTATGAAGTTTTGAAAACTGGTACTGAATGTATTTTGTGCACCAATGCACATCAAAAGAGGTTAGATAATATCTGCACAGCAAAATGGCAGAAGCATCTTGCTGAAGGTTAGAGTTTAATGGTATAGGTGTTTCTCTCCAGCGTCCGGAGAAACTCAAGTATTGTAGTACTCATCTCCCTGCATGATTGGAAAGTAACATCAGCACTTGTGGAAACGGAGATTGAGCTCTTATGCTCATGACTTGTTGAGAAGCCAGCAGGGGCTGGCAGAGCCAGGAAGCACAGCAAGATTCAAGATTCAAGATTTTTTATTTGCCATATATAACAAGTGTGCTGGAATGCCTCCTCGTTCAGCTGTACCCAGTAACAGCAGAGAAAGCGCAACCATTCCTTAAATTTAACCCAGATTAAACGCTTGCCTCATTCTTAATCAAAGCCAAAAAGAAAAACCCCCTTCTTACCCAGAGACCAACCTCATTCCTAACCTAAACCAGAACCATAAGCCATTACCAGCCTAATAACAGCTTCAGTCAAGATAAATCCATATCCTGCCACCTGTAAGAATTGACAAGAAAACAAACAGTCTGTCCAGCAGCTTGGGGTGTTTTCTTCTTGCTCCACAGCTGGGGAGGACAGCCGTGACGACTGCGTGGAGGCCGAAGCAGCAGTGAGATTCCTGCCAGCGCTAGTCCGGTGTGTGAGACACTGACAGCGCAGTGACAGGTGGCTTCCAGGGTTAACATATTACCCGGCTGTGCCTGCACCCTGCATTCGTCTGCCCCCTCCATCATTCCTAACTATGCAGGCTGCCCCCATAAATGCCCTGTCAACGGCTCAAGATCACTTTCCACGCTCCTATTAAAAGCGGTGCGAATTATTTTCACTTGCCATGGGGGCATCTCAGGCCTGACGCAGCACAACACTCCGCTGTGCTGTTTAAGCCTCGCTCTCTCCACTTTGTCTCGGTGTTTTGTTCAAGTCTTACTTGGCACAAACCTCCCTGTGAATACTTTTCTCATACTCCTCTAATGTAGCCTTGAGGGTTGCCTAATTTTCCCAATAAACCAATGACAGGGTTAACAAAAGGTAACAGTGGACTTCCTGTGCTGCGAAGGAAGTGCCTGAGGTTTAATAGAGCCTTAAAGGAGAAAGACTACTTCTTGACGACATTACTTGACCTTGACCCACTGGCCTGCTGGCCCCTTCTCTCCAGGGTTACTGACTGCGCTCTGAGTGACAGAGAGCCCTTCCTCCTTGTTTGTCTTGGCTTGGGCCAGCTGGTGGTGCTTGATGGTTTTTCCAGTGTCAGTGTCAGCCTGCCATGTGGAATAACACTCACACAGAAGCCCACTTCTTGACAAGAGAGCCCAGCGCACAGACCCACTCACTCCCTGCGACACACACACCCCCTCTGTAGGGAACAGCGCAGCACCATCCCATTGCCAAGGGAGAGCTGCCAGCGGAGACAGGGAAGGGGATGAGGGAGCAGAGAAAAGTCCGATGAGCAAAAAGGGGAGCCGATTGAGGAATAAAATGCAAAAACATTTCATCAAGTTACATTTTCCATACCTACCTTAGTGAAGAAGAGGTAATTGTGGAGACACCTCCCTGGTTTTTGCAGAATATTTGACACAAGATACACTAAAAGAGTGTTGTCTCCGCCCAAAAATTTAACACCATGCTAGTAATCCCACTGGGTACAATCCCAATGCCAATGACTTCAAAATGCATGGTGCTGCTATTTTTTTTTAGAAAATGTGTACAATTTCAAAAATCAATCACCATTAAATAAAGGAAACGCCCAATTTCACATGTCCTTGCGGTCTTGCAATTACATTTTTCACTGTAGCTATTTTTTACACTTCTAATTTTGTCACAAATTCTCTGTATCAAGTCTGTAAAGAGAGTTTATGCAAGCCAATTATATTTGTAACACCCAGACTGAAAAAATGTTGCTATGATGTGGAGGTTTTGTATTGTGTTTCACACAGCACACTCACTGATTTATTTAATGTGGTACCAGGCCACCTACTGCCTCATCCAATTCAGACTAGAACAGAATAACTGCTCTTGGAAGGAAGGTTTATAGTTTTATTTTATATGCCTATGAGTCAGATCTGTTAAAGCTGTTGTGTGAGGCACAAATGTAGCAGGAAACAATGCATATATCCCCAGCCTCTCTGTTAATATCCACATATCTATAAAATGACTACTTTCTCTGGAGTACTCTCAGTAGGAAAAACCTAAATCAGCTACGTTAATATTGCTGTTCTTTCATGATGTATTGATTTTAGATATGCGGTGACCCACTAGCCTGGCATTAAGAGCACATCAACCACAGAGAGCTCATTACTACTGCATTATATAGGAGTTATATCTGGCGGCCTTAATTTTATTGTCACCAACAGTATTCATTTAAATAAAAAAAAAGACCATATGATCAAAAATTACCCAAGCAATTAATTATTAATGTTCCTTATATGAAACTAGCAGGAAAAAAAACACAAAGGTGTCAGTAACCCACTTTTGAGTCAATTTCAAGTTAAATTACAAACAATTAAAAGATACAGTGACATGGACAGCAATTCCCAGGATGTAATTACCATTGTAGATATTTATCTCTACTGAGTGCTAATTTAGCTGTAATTGATAGCAGGCTGTTTTTTTAATTGTCTGAAGTCATCCAGTGCTTGGGTAGCGTATTGCTGTGGAGATGCAGTACATCCACAATTGTTCATTCCTGAAACGTGCGCAGAAGCCTTTTTTTTTTAAATGAATTGGCTTTGCCGTTCACAGCTGACAGAAAAACATACATGTTTAGTTTTTCTCTACACCATGTTTCGATGCTGCTGATCGGTGGGACCAGCAGCAGATCGAGAGTCATAAGCTGAACCCACTTGCTGGGCGAGAGGCAGGTGACACAGGAACTGCACAGGCAGTGAAGAAGTCTGGGGAAACCGTGCAACCCAGGGACCGGGCTGAGAGGAAAGTGTGCACTCTGGGAGACGAGCAGGAAGGCTGAGCATGTGGAGCATGCAGGCGATGTGCTCCTGCAGCCAGCCAGGGGCTCAGTGATGCAACAGAGCTGTGAGCAGGGCAGGTATGGTAGGTCAGATCCGTGGTCGAGCTGGCGGAGGTCAAAGGCAGTAAATCCAAAACAGTCCAAAGCACAAGGGGGAAATCCGTTGAAACAAAGTCAAAGCATGCCAGAGACCAAGCCGAGATAAACACCATGTAGATCCCAAACCATGGGGTGACCCAGAAACGAGGTCAAAACAAAGCAGAAGTCCCGAATCCAACAGAACATGGGAGAAAAGCAACGCAGGGGAAACAAGCTTGAAGCGCTCAGAGGTGAAACTCTATAACAAAGCACTGAGCAGGGTCCTTAAATATCTCTGAACTACCTTAAACCGTGCAAAGTGGTAAATACTCTCCAGGTGATCCAGGTCTCCTGTCAAATTGGTCTCCATAGGAACCGGTGATGGGCGACAGGTGGGTGGAGCAGAGGCTGGCTGCCGTGGCAATGCTAGCTTAGCCCGCAGAACGTGGCCAGGGCAAGGCCGACACAGCACAACAACACCAACAGCCAGGGAAGTGGAAAAGTTGAAAGGAAAATCCTCCAAAAAAAGAGGCCAAGATGCTTTGACTGTGAAAAACCTGTTGTTTTAAAAATGTCCTTCTTGGAATGGTGCCCACCCCTGGACGGGACATTCTGGACAGACATTGAACCCTCTTCCCAGATCTGCATGCTTCTTCCGTGCATCTGCATTAACTTCTTGACCAATATTTTATCATGAACGGCAGGGAGATATTTGTACTTTAAATTGTTTCACACCAGAGCACAACTCCCTTCCTCCCTCTTAAGGGACTCACAGCTTAACACCACCCTCCACACACAGATCAGCAGTAATGCGATATGACAGATTACCCTCTCTGTTTCACTGGATTGATGTGATTATAATTCTCCTGAAATAACTGCTTCTTCATCACAACATGTGCTACTAACTCCACTCTTGGAACGTGAATCCTAATACTGACCCCAAATCCTCTGGATACTAGGAATATCCATCCAACACTATTTCACTGACAGCCAGGACACTGCATTGAACTCACATTTCAATCGCAAGCAATTCAGATAACTGAAAGTTTTGGAAAGCTTAAGGCTTTTCTCATAGCTAAATTAAAGTCAATAAATGAAAACCATTTTTCATTTCATACTTTCATGGCACATTAAATAATTGAGTCTATGCAGAAAACGGAAACTTCAAATACACAAGAATTTCCTAAATAGATATGAAACTACTGCAAACTCAGAAAAAAATACTTAACAGAGAAATTATACTTAGATTAAGAAACGCATACTTTTCAAAATGGTCTGTAGCAGACACTGGCAAACCCTATAATAACAGGAATGCAGGGCATGAAAAAAGGAGGTGACGTTTATTCATATAATTACACACAGGGAGTCCAGAACTAGAAGATTCAGATATAAAAAAGCTCCACCTCAACATAGTCCCCTTACACACTGCATTCCTCCAGTCAAATGACACCCAACTGAAAATTCCTTGCTTGAACACATCAGGCGCCATTATAACACATGCATATCATGACATTTAAAAAACAGAACAAAATGCCCAACTGTGGTAAAAAAAAACTATTTCAGTAAAAATCTTTACTTCTGAAATATCCCATTACACTTACATTGCCAAAAACTGTGAACACAGAGTCAGTAAGAGATAAATGCAGGAAGTAGCCAAAGCTCTTTGTCAGATAAGTGCGATCCAATACTACATACTGTACTACTGTGGCTTCAAGCTCAGATCCACATGAAAAATTGTCTACCAGTTCTCTCTGCCAGACGTCCTGCAAATGAGACCCGTACTGCACTTTTTCTGTTAGTTTAACAGATCAGGTTTAAGTCGTGCAGCCTTGGGAATATCTGTGGACTGCTCGGTGCTGAAAGGGCCAACACCGCATCCTGTTTCAGCACACAGCTGTTGTGGGGGAGAGAAGGTGGCTGTACTGTAGCTTGGGCATGCCACCTGTAGTCCTGCCATGCAGGCATCCTTCACACAGGCTGACCAACAAGACACAAACAAACTCAGCTCAACACCATCTTTAAGCCCATATTTAAACGGATATGAATAAATCTGTTGATGTAGATGAAGTCTATGACCACCTTCTAGTCTGATCTGGTCAGATTTCAGAAGCCACGCCGAGCCTGGCCTGGTCAGTACTGGAATGGGAGATGTCTAAGGAACACCGAGTTGCGCTAATGGACCAGTAGGTGGCACTATTCCTTCTGGACCACAATTTCCAGTCCAGTGCCCAAGTATTCTGGCAAGGGACTGTCTTTCGGATGGGATGTTAATCCGGTGTACTGACTACTTGGTCATTAAGGATCAGTTTGTAAGTATAATAAAATACAGAAAAATGGCTACCACGTGAGGCCTATGTGGGAGCTGCCCTTTATGAAGAGAATAAGAGAATAAGGAACTTTAGGATCCTTTAGGGTGAAAATTCTATACATGCAAAGAGTTATTAACGCTACACATTACTGGGATATCAAGATTTCTGTGAAGAAATAAGACCGTAATGCTTTGCCAAACAATTTTAGACTCAAGAGCACAGGAGATTCATTGGTTAATCGAGCTACAGAAAAACTTCACTGTACTTCCCGGCGTTAGTAATAATTAGAAGCTGGTGTTTGTTGGTGCGGTTGCTGTGGTAACAGGGTAAGAAGCTGCTGCAGAACGTATACTCGGCAGCACAAGACTATGAGCGGAGAGGAGGGGAGAACGCGAGCTGGAAACCACATGTAGAGGGGGAGAGAGGCTTAAGGCGAATGGCAGTCAGAAATGCAGCACTCCAGACACCCGAGTATAAAAAAAGGGCTCCAATAAACAAAACTGCATGCAGACAATTTTACCCCCACAGAAGTTTCCAGCAAACCAAACAGTGAAGGAAGACGTGTTTTTCCCCACTGGAGAACTTTTGAAAGAAAGCAGCGGAAGACAAAGAGAGCTCCTAGGCTCCGCGCCGCTGGTAGGCCCTCAAGGCTGGCGAGGCTGTCACAGCGCCAGGCTGGTGAATGATTTTTAGCACCACTTCCCTGTGGCGGCGAATTTGCCAGACTCCCACGCTGAGATGTAGGAAGCCCACTCAGCAGGGCCCAGCCACACACCACTATCCCATGCCCACACAAAACCACTCATTATGTCACTCTCTGGTGTCTAAGGAACACACCCAGAAAACACACAAATACAGCCCAGCAGAACATAAAAAGAAACTTGTCCAACAGAGTGCCCTTTAGATTCTAACAAGGACTTATTTTTTTTCCTGAAGACACTTACTGCACATGGTATCGCATTGCTACTAACAAAAATAGCACATACCTTTTCTAGTTTTTAAGCACTAAGGACACAGAATACATGTCCCGTGTACAATTCCTAGAGATTAGTAATTCGAAATTCTTACTGTTTTCAAGAAATAAAATGCTTTGTTCAGTTTTTCTTTGTAATGAGAATCAACAAAGATGGCATTCGTGTAAGTTACTTTTTAGTTTCTTTCAAGGCATTGATAGACATTGCACGTATTATCGGGGTTCTTGGATGCATACTGTGTAAATATCAACAGTCAAATTGCTGTATTCTGCTTGAAACACGGGAACTTATGCATTCAAGCTTGGCTAATCATGTGGCGAGTCTTGTGAGTTTTAGAATCAATTACATCATTCATGTGCCACTTGAAACACTAATAAAAGCCTCATGATCATAAAAACCCATTTCTGTTGAATAGAAAATAAATTTAAAATCAAAGCTTGTAAAATTCATTATGAGCTCCTGAACGGCTTTAATGAAGCTTTAGTGAAGAGCTTTAGTGAAGTCAGTAGTAGATTTGTCTGCTTCAGGGACAAACGCAATGACGTATTTACCAAACAAGCTGGAAATGATTTGGGGTCAAATTTAAGAAACTGGTCAAAGGGAAACGAAAGAAATGGATGCCATATCTATGGTGCTGCTCAACGTGCAGTGATTCAGCTTTTTTAATTTCCTGACTGAGGAAACATGATAACGTTACTCTTGCACACAACAAGTACAATATGCAAAACAGTACACTGTACAATATGCAAAATTAAACCACCCCTTAGCACCGATGCATTTTTAAAAGATTCAGCTCATGCTTACCACTGAAATAAGTAGATCAGTTCAGACTGCGAGATATGAAGATGCATCTGTTGCTCAGAAACCCGTGATAGTGTGGAGGGGTCTTTCACTCACCTGCTGCGTCGGCTCTGTGTCTGCTGCCTGGCCATCTCCTTGCCCGTTTTTCTTTTTTCGGAGCAGACAGTTGCACACAATCAGGGTTGCTAGCGATACGGTGAAGATGCCCACATCTGGGACCACCAGTCGCAGAGTGCTCCACAAGTCATCTAGCGGAAGCCTAACATGATAAATGAGGGTATGAGGTCAAGCCAACCGATTCTAGAAAGCAGCCATATGTAATAACTCCTACTGTAAGATCTTTCCACAGACAAGGGGCTTATGCAGGGCAGAGAATCCAAGCTCAACTCTGGGAGATAACACTGACTATATTCAAAGCTGATGCATGCAAATTCCAGTCAAAATCATTCTCTTTGGGAAGACTATGGAAGAACCGAATCTCTTAATCAAGTGTGGATTTGATGAACTGGCCTCCTCTTTCTTCAGTGTCTGGGATCTCCCCCTGCACGTGTACATGTAGTTCACCTTTCTACAGCCCAACAAGGCTCTGCTTATTTCCATCGTCTCCGTTCCAAAGCTGAGGAAATCGGAACATTTCACTCTCAAAAGATTACGCATGCTCCATAAACACACCCAACCTGTCTCTGACATTCCTGGCATACCTGGATACTCCAACGTGTCTTGACAGAGGCTCCCAGGAGCTGCCTGCAAAACAAGAACGAGACGTGACCTTGCAGAAAACTGCAAAAAGGCACGAAAAGCAGAGAAACCGCACAGAATGCAGAGGTTATCAGGGAGCAGTGAGTAATCTACATGCACTGGACTATTGCCTGTTCAAACATGTTCCAATATTATCCTAACACTACACGTTTAGTAAGACTATAATTTTAGCCTTCTTGAGGTACAGTGTTTTTTGCAAATGAAAATAAAGCCTATTTTAACAAATATGGTAAATTCTCAGCAGAAATGCTTAAATAAATGCTAAACGTAAGAAAGTATTTTTATAGCCAACATATATATGTTTTTTTTACATTAAGCACATCATTCACTAAGCTAGCTGTAACTTATTCTTATTCTTTCTATGGAGATCAAAGCTGTACTGTACAGATGTTGCTTTCTTAATTCTGGAAATACTCTGTAAATTTAGTGATTGAATTAGAGAAAAGAGGACATTATTTTTAACCTTTTAGACTCCCACAATGTATTCAATCAGAAAATAGTTTGATATTTGTTTTCACTTTAATATAACATAAAAATCAGATGTTATTATATAACCAAAATAAAAAACAGAATCCGATGTTCTTATATGAACAAAAAACAATGTTTTTGATGCAAGAACATAAGAAAGATTATAAAGAAATTGAGGCTGTAGAACCCATCTACCCTATTTGGTAGATAAAAGCTAACTGACAAGAGTTTCAACCAATTGTTTCTTGAACAGGTAGCCTGGGTAGCCTGTTCCATTCTCCTACAACCCTTTGAGTAAAACAATACCCATTCTTGGCTTTAAATACACTTCTATGTACTTCATACTTGTGTCGTCTTGTTCCATATTGATTTTGAAGAGTCAACTGTTTGAGAATACAAGGTGTAACTGCAGATACTGTCTGGGCTTTGTTTTTAGAAAAAGTAAGATACTGTAGCACTCACAGTTGTATCCCAGCTCATCATCCAGGCCGGGAACAGTGTACAGGCAGATCTGAAAGGTGAGGTGAGCCAACAGGAACACCAGACTGGTGGCAAACAGGGCCTTGATAAAACGCCCAGTATGACCTGGAAGCGAGAGACGTAAACACTAACACACATGAAGACATCAGAATTGCACAACCACAGGGAACCCTTACAGCACCATGAGCTTATGAGCAGTACGGAAAGCAGCTGTGTGCTGTGTCAGAGCAGGCCCTTTCTCCCTCCCTTATATACTGTATAGCCTCTAAAACAGTTTCTTTGGCTTTACGAAAATATTTGGGCTGCTCCCAAATTTACGTAGAGTTAAAACTAAAAGTATTTTGGTAATGAACAGAACAAACTGCTGACTGCCAAGACAAAATGGGCACAGCAATACCGCCGAAAGACATTTTTGAAAAGAGTACTACAAATGTGGGTGCTTACAGCAAATGAAACAAAAAGGAGTGAAACAAACAGGGTTATCGTAGAGTGGCAGTCAGAAGACTCATAACAGAAGCCTTTGTGAAAGTGAGCCGAGCTGGAGAAAATAAGCTACTACAAGGTAGTGGTATGCAGCTCTTATGATTTTGGCGGTGATAACTAGGTTGTTGGTTTTTAATAATTTAAGAATTATTTATACACTGGTTCCACCCCACAGGCCCCCTAGAAATTGACTTGTATTTCCTTTAAGCATTAGGGTTTCCCCTTTCAGCATTAATATTTTAGATTGCCCAGAAAAGGCAGTAATACAACTGAAGAGCCCTTTTATTCTAATAAGTTCCAGTGAAGGCGACCTTCTGAAAGTTAAATAGATTCAACAGATGAGCCCCTCACTGCACCCTCTACTCGCCGGACTGAGAGTGTATTAAAAGAGCTGCCACAAAATGTTGAGATTTAAAGTTGTTGGCATTGTTAAAACCATTCCAGTGCTTCCAAAATTCTTATGTATTTTAAATTGTTTTGAATTTTAACAACCAACATCTCCATTTTAATACGATAATTTTATATAATTATATAAATAGTTTGATACAATAATAATGACAATTGTAAACAAAGTGAAATTTTTCTGAATATTCCTGTGTGTCGTCCGTAGTCTGTGTACCTGTGACGTTCCCTCCAAAGCTCAGCTCTGAAGTTTAAAGCGGTGTTTACCCAAAGCCCCCAGTTCATTCCTGTGGATCCCAAGCTGCTGCTCTGTAATCTCATTTTAAGTAAACGAGCGGATCAGCATTAGAGAAACACAGTACTACAAACTACATTCATCCCGAAAACCTTCCGGTCTGAACCCCTTCATCAGGATGGAACATGAATCACATCAGTTCTATGTTCTGACAAGAGTTAGAGGCTTCAAGCATCCATTCCTCATTCCTTCTCTTACCCAACAGAAGGCAACAGAAAGTTCCACTTTCTGAAACAGAGGTAAATGTATTGAATTCTACACACAGACGAAAGATGGAAATAACCACTAAGAACAAGTGAAAATCACCCACACATCCATCGCTAAGGCCATTCATGTGGCTTGGCATTAGGGCAAGCATCTTCACAAACTTGAAAAAAAAAACAGAAATTGATATGATTGTGTTTGTACACTGCATTATCTCTAACTACACAAACGACAAACAAATCAAATTCAGCTTATCCACTGTACTTTTGTACTGTTTGTATTGTTTTTCTTAATTTATCCTATGAACTGCTGCCAGTTCTGGGCTTCACATTATCAGGACAGAAAACTGCACACAGCTTCTCTATCTGCTTTCCTAGAAACTATATAAAGACACCTGAGAATGTTCCATTACTGTATAAAAAGGCTACAGTTACTTGTTTGGCTTCTGGTGCTTTTGTTAAAAATTGACCTTTGCTTTCATTTAGTTAATTCTTGAGTAAACGTAATCTAAAAAAGAAATGTTATCCCCCTAGCTCTAATGGCAGAAGGGAGAAAGAGACAGGAGAGAAAAAAAGCACTAAGATAACTCTGCACTTGTCAAAACCCGATAACAACTGAATGACAACCACTGGAAAACAAACACTTTGCTTTGAAGCAATTCATTATTTTCATAATACTTGAAACAGACAGAACAATTAGAACAAAATGCACTCCTTTCTAAAGTATTATCTTCCCACGAGAAAGTCAGTTTTGCATTCACAAAATGCAAATCTAAATTTTGTCATTCAAAATAAAAAAGAACTAATCTGTTCCCATTTTAATTATAAAGAAAAAAAATGGGAACATTCTCACACACCAGAATTTAACAATATGGGGAAAGGGTTTTAATAATAGTATTAATACAATTAGTCTGCAAAACCCCATTACCTATCTTAGTTTAAAGCCTTTCCAGTGTCTTAGTATGATTAATGAATGCATTACTCTGCGTAGTGTCTCTAACAGAAGTGCAGTAATCATGATTGTATCACCTCCAGTATTGGTGACTAGAGGCAGTCTGTGTTTCGTAATGTTACTGAAGCATTGCTGGTCCAAGGATGAACCTGATTTACAGCAGCAGGTCTCTGGATCCAGCCCAGAGCAGCCACTGACTCACTGCAATAAAGCTTCTTTTTAATGGAGGTGCAAAACAAGATTGAGTATCCTAGATATACTCTTCAGCGGGCATGGTTTTGACCAAACACAGGCTCCCCTGAGACTTGTATTTTCTTTTGTTTTTATTCTCCCCATTCTATTTTTTCCACTTCATGCTAGTGAATTTAGTTCTACTGTACAAACAGGTGAGCAGGCAGCAGAATGTCGAAGGACTGAGATTGTGGTTTAGTCGCCGTGCTCTCTGGTCACGATCCCAGTTCCACATGACAAGAGTTTGCTGGAAAGGAAAAGGACACCAATTGGCCTATCAAGTGCAGAGAAGACCTTGTGATGCGTATCGAGTCAGTTTGCTGATTGCTTTTTCCAGACTAAAATATGAAAGACTAACCGACTCTGCCTTTCAACAGCAGGCTTGTTTCAAATATATCTGCAGCAGACAAAACCAAAATTGTGGGTTTCTATTTGACAGATTCACTCACCACTACCAGCTCCGACACAGTAACACAAGACACAGAGTGCATAACCTCATGAAGCCGACAGATAAGAAAAGTCTCTGCTGTATATCGGGGAAGTGGTGGAAAATCTGAGTATAAGAGTATAAAGTGTGTCTTTTTTCTGCATTACCATTGCAATTCTTTTAACTTGTCAAATGAGGAAATAACGTTTGTTCATAAAAACAATGTTTTCTTCTATGGCCTATGTCTAATTTTAAATAAATAATTCATATGTTACTAAGAATACTAAAATGCAATTTAATAGAAGAGGATATGACTAAGAAAAGTTTTTTCTACAAGCTTACAATGTTTTACAAACTTGACTTCCTGTTACACCCTCTGTTCTATGGGAAGTGTGGGGGTCAGACTGAAACTGTAAGTCATTAAACTGCCCCCACTCCATAGAAAGGGAAAAAAAAATAACACCTGTCATAATAGTTTATGTCTGCTCCTGAAGCCTGAACCCTCCAAGATTTCAGATTTTTTTACACCAAGGCCTGGTAATTAATTACTGTTTTTCAAAGCTGTCCTGAATTGCTCTGTGGTCAGTACCGTTTCCAAAAAACTGAACTCAATAATGATTCATCGGAAAAAAAATAATACCCCTGCAAGGTGCACACAGGAACAGCGCACAGAGTATTTTTAAAAATAAATGACATATTCCCTTTAATTCATATTGCCTATTAAGGGGGAGTCTTTCCGAAAACAAACTGCCTGATGCCTAATAAATGCCATGTGACAGTGCTTAATGAATTGCTTATTTTACCAGTTTAAATAAACAAGGTCTTAAAAGGTGTGTTTTGACAGGAAATGGCTGGCACTTGCAGGGCAGCTAGGCGGTGGAGCAGGGTCTGCCTTCACTCATTCCACAGGAAGATGGACGGATGACCCCATTGTATCAACTGGATAACAGCACCATTCCCACGTCATAATGGGGCAGAGCCCTAAGAGAGGAGCCTCTGCTAACTTTCTGCAGCATTCCGGGTCAGAAACCAACCTGCACAACACATCCCCTTGTGGTTTATGTTCTACATCCTTTTAACAAAGCACACATGACCACGTTCTGCTTATAGTGTACAGGACAATTCAAAAGAGAGAGCTTAACACAGATTGCTTTGGATTCTATCTTCAAGAAAGTTTTTTTTTTTTATTCTCGGTACATGTGTTTATTAGAGAACAAAACCCAAATGCTTTTGCGTAAATTAAGGAGTTTGTATTGTTCCCTGGCATAGTGATGGGTAATATGGCTCAGTGTGCATTCCTGTGGCTCTGTAGATTTCCTGATCTTCTCTACAGATCAGAGTCATCCCAGTCAAAAAAGCACTGTGGGGATGCAGCTGTGTGTATCAGACTGAAATCAATTGCCTTGAGCGACCTGGCTGGTTGCCTTTGTCCTGTCAGTGCTTGACGTTATGTGCTGAGTAGATGTTACTGTCTGAATGTACACTCTGGTAAAACAACAAAGCACAAGCTCTGCCATGGGATTTGCTAATAACAGTCGACATTATTTTTAAAAAAAGCAAAATTGCAGAAGAAGGGAGGATGGCCTCACAAAACATTTCTAACTTTCTGACCCTGAAACTTTCAGTGTTTGCAGAAAAGAATGCAGTACAATGTTGATTTATATTACAGTACCTAATACCAGTTTCATTTTTTCACTTCGCAGCTCGCAGCTAGACTTTCTCCCAGTACAGTTGTGGCAAAATGGGGCAGGGTACGGACTCACCCCACACCCACCTTCCAGCACTTGTTTTAACAGCATCGCAGCCCCGTGCCAGAGCTTCACAGCTGGCGGGGTGACAGGAGCGTCTCTCCACCAGGTGTGAAGAAGGCTCCACGGCCGAAACGTTGCGTTTTCTTTCTTCTTTTTTTTCCAGCATGGAATAAACCTATTACTTTTTCCTTTGCAACATTAAAAAAGGTCTTGTTTTCTGGACTTTTGGGTGATGAGCTGTTCTCCATGAGCTAAATAATTGCCATACTTAATTCATGGCAAATAAATACATATTTTGCTCTTTAAACCACATTTCCTTCATCAGTGCCCTTTATATCCTGCCTTCCTGTTTCTTTATTTC